AAGATTTTCATTCAAATAGTTATCCATCAGCTCCACGTTCAACAACATCAGAAATCTCAACTAATGAATTATCTCCATGTTTGTTCTTTTTTACTTTTTTTAAATAAAAAAAAACAAAAAAAAATTATTTTTTAGTAAATCCTATTCGAACAGTTAATTGGCCGGAAATATTACCAAAGATAACAATTAATATTGATCAAAATCGTTTTGATTCATTATCAACAAGTAAAAAACATAACAATGAATTTGAAATCTTATTTTATTTTTTTGTTGTTGTTCATAGATGATATTCAAGATGATGAAAATAATAATTCTTCAAATCATGATGAAGATCCAACGGATGAAGATAATTCAAATAGAAATTCAAATTCAAATATAAATAATAATAATAATAATAATAATAATAATAATGATAATGAAAATAAATCTTCTCATAATGGTGAATATCAAACATCAAAAACTCGTTCATCATCACCATATAAAGAAAAGCATATTCGTCGTCCAATGAATTCATTTATGTTATTTTCTCAAGAACAACGTGGAAAAATTCATTTAGCTAATCCAAATCGTGATAATAGAAATGTATCAAAAATTTTAGGTGAAAAATGGTATTCATTATCACCACAAGAACAAGAACAATATAGAATACGTGCTAAACAATTAAGATATGAACATTCAAAACAAAATCCATCATTTAAATGGACAAATCAATTAAATAAATTAAATTATTTAAATAATCAAATTAATACAAAAGATGAACAAGAACAATGTAGAAGATCAGCTAGATTACAATCACAATCAAATCAAGATAAAAATATTACTTCACCAACTTGCGATAGATTACAAGCTTTCGCTCAAGTATTTTTATAAATTTAAAAAAAAAGAAATTTTTTTTTTTATCAATATTGTTTTGATTTTTAAAAAATAGATTTGTACAAATATGCCTAAATTAACTGAAGAATCAACAAAACGTTTTTCTCCAATAACAAAACCATCATCAGATAATCAATCAACATTAACAAATCTTATAACACCTGTTCCAATTCATGGAAATTCAACTCCAACATTAATTATCAATCAAAATCAACCAGATTTTAATACAAATATCAATTCGAATAATGGTAAAAATCGACATTTTTTATAAAAACTTCATTGAAACAATATAGAATATTTTTCGAAAACTAAAATGTCTATGAATATCAGAGATGGATCGATCGAGGTACAACAATTCCTCAAACAAAAATACTTTTTATTTTTCGTACGTTCTTTTTAGCAAAAATAGTCTTTATATTCTCCCAAAAATTCGTAACACTCCCTCCTCTCATGTTGACTATCTAGGATTAGCTCTGATGAATTTGTTTTATGAGCAATTAGAGTTCATAAGATATGTGTCTATCATTTTTTACATATATCCCTTTGAAATTTTGTTTTTATGCATGAAAGATTTTCTTTGAGTAAACTTAATTCATTGTCATATTTCAGGAAATTTAGTTTCCTCAATTATTTATTCAATAGATTCGTCAAATAAATTGTGCTATGAATCATATAGATAAGAGTCGATGTTCCATTCAATAGGGAGTTGCGGATCCAAACTTGAAGTTTTTTCCATCAATACGTGTCACCCTTCGTGTACATGAACAAGCAGAGGATCAAAGTTTTAGTGGTTTATTCACTACTCTCTGAAAAAAAAACTCAACGTATAGTTATATCTTGTTACTAGATTTCTCATATGCGGAGCAGCGGATCCACAAAAAAGTGTAATCGGCTCCAACAAAAAATAAAACTTTGGATCTGGAAGGATATGCAACTTTCTATCATTCAGACGTTTTAAATTCTATAGAAAATATAAAAAATCTTTTGTGTTTTTTGTCATTGAAAAATATAGCAGATAAAAGCTCTTATTAAATTTGAAAGATTCGAAATATAAATCAATTTTTATATACTTAGAAGAATTTTTAATCACTCTATCACGATTGATTATTTCATAAAATAATATATTTATTAAATTAATTCTTTTTAATTTTACTATTGAAAATACTCATTGACAATATTTAAATTATAAAAAATAATTCTAAAATTCAAGATAAAATATTATTGTATAAATAATAATTTGAATAAATAAATATAGAAATGGATACATCTCAAAATGGAATATTTCAATATCGTAATACAGCATTTCGTGTTCATCCATCATATAATTCAACTGATGATAATATTAAAAGTCATTCATTATCAAATTCTCCGAATTTAAAAAATGAAAATTCATCAACATTATTAGCTGAAAATGAACCATATCGTACAATTGTATCAATGTTAATTAATCAACGTAAAACAAATCTTGGTCTTGAACAACAACTTAAACATTTACAATCAACAACAAATCATATAACTAAAGCAACAACATCACAATCTCCAATATCAACAACAATATATTCAAATTCATCAATTGAGTCGAACAGTAATAATCAGAATTTAATTAATGATAATAATGAACGATTTAATTTAAATCAATCATTTACAATTAAACCTTTTTCTCTTGATGAACATCAACAACGAAATTTTATTTTTCCTAATTCTCAAAATCATTTTATAACACATTCAATTGGTATAATAACAAAAAAAAAAAAAAAAAACTTTATTTTTATTTATGTATTTCTTATTTTAGCATCATCATCAAGTCATTCAACAGGTTATTCAAGTGGTTCATCATCATCATCATCATCTTCACTGGATAGTAATAGTACAATATTATCAGCATATAGTTCACGTTCAAATAGTTCATTATCAGAACGAAGTAAAACATCTCCAACACCATTAAAACAAATACAATATTTACCAACAATAAATGAAACAAATATTCATTTTCCAACAACAACTGATGATGAAGTAACACAATTAACTTCATTAAATGAAAATAAATATCAATCAGATATTTTATCTCAACAATCTCCGTTACCATCAACATCTGAACAATTAGATGCTATTCAACATAAACCATTAACAAAACGAAGAAAAACTAGTACTTTAGAGGTTTGTTTTAACAATTTTTTTTTCTTCTAATCTTCATTTTAAATAATTCCATATCAATCGGACACGAAAAAAAAAAAAGAAAATAAATTTCTTCATATAAAATTCTTAAATAAATCAAAACTATCTACTACGTATCTCTAAAAATATAACAAAGATTCCATCATCTTTTTTTATATTCAAGAAGTTTGACATACCCAATAGACATGCAAACCGATTCGCTGAGCACTTTCAACATCGATGGTCACTTTTCATGAAACTAAAAAAATTTTTAAAACCGCATCGAACACTTCTCCAGTCATTGTGAGAGCGTCAGAGACATTTAGCCACTATTGGTAAAAGCCAAACAAAAGTTCAATATATCCAGCCATCACTTCTCTGAAGCTTGAGATCTTCGTAGCCATCATCATCAATTAATAGATCGGTTTACATGTCGAATCCCGAAGCTGAAAGATAAGAAGAATGATAACTTTTTATCTAAAACATGCTTTTGACTAACAAAATTTTCTATTCCTATCCATATTTAACATAAATATGTGTTGAATACTTGAAAAAATTGATTTGTTAATTTAGTGTGTCCAACGTCCAACAACTCGATCTCAAAGTATAAGTGAACGTGTAGGATCAAATAATTGTACAAGTATTAATACAGAATCATGTCCAATAGTGACACGTAAACGAAAAGCATCAATTGTTATTGAACAAAATGAAAGTGAAATAAAACGTACAACAAATGATTATATAAAACATTTAGATGGTAAGATTTGTTTTATTTTTGAAAATAGAAATTAAAAAAAAAAAATTTTTTTTTTTTATTAGAAATGAAAATTCAATATATGAAAGCAAATTCAAATCGTCAAACAAATTCTTCAATATATTCAAATAGTCAAACAATAAATAAAAATCAATTAGCATCAAGATTAAAAGTGATTGATTTTTTAAAAGGTCATCTTTATCCCACCGGTAATAAAAGAAACACACACACACACACGTTTATTTTTTTATTTTTTTGTCTAAAAAGAAAAGTAATATTATTTTTCTAGATTCAGCAATATTATCATTTCAAATAGAAAATCAAGAATTATTTCCAAAGAGACGTTTATTAAATCAACGTATTCGAGAAATTCGTCAGAAATTGATGAGTAATTTAAATCAACAACAAATATTACGTGAACCATCATCATAAATATAACTTTTCTCTTCTTCTTTTTTTTTTTTCTTTTCTCGAGTTTTTTTCTTTTTCGTTTTCTTTTTTTTGTTTGTTTATTCGATGTTGTGCCATACGTATGTTGTGGTAGTCTTAGCCTCTCATTGTTCACCCACCGGAATGACGTGTCCGCTCGCCTCTTCTCTCTTTCTAGTCCGTGTTCTCTCTTCGTTTTTTTTCCTAGACAACAAAAACTATGTGTGTCTCTCTTTTTTTCTTTTCATTAGGTATAATTTCTTGTTTTCTTTGTTTTCATTCAATTGTCGTCATTATTATCATCATAAAAGACTCGCTAAATTAAACGTGTCTCTAAAAAAAAATAAAAAAAACAAATAAACAAGATTTTCTCTTATTTGTTAACTCTTTTCTCTCGTTTGTTTTTTTTTCTTCTTCTTCTGTGTGCTAAAATATGTTGAAAGGCCTCTATTCTACAGTATGTATGCGTCATGTCAGATGAAGGTTTTCATAAACTTTGTTAAAAAAAAGAGAGAGAGAGAAAAAAAAAAGAGATAAATATATAAGAGAAATACTTATTTGTTGTTATTTGTCTTGTCTGTTTTTTTTTTGTTCTTTCGCATCTTGTCTTTGTCAATGTAACGCGTTTTGTGTATTCTATCGTTTTTTTTTTCATTCTTACATTGGATAACAAGAAGAAAAAAAAATATATTAACAAAATTCATAAAGTGATCCTTCACTGTAGATGTTTTCATGGCGATTAGAAAATCAGATGAACAATTTTTCATCTGTATTCAAATTATTTATTCTTATGAGATTGATAAGTGCATTTTTCAATCCAATCGATGATTGTGATGAAGTTTTCAATTTTTATGAACCTGTAAGTTTTTGAAGTGAAAAATAATAAATAATTCATTAGTCAATCAAAATCAAAAAAATGAAACCAAACAAAAAGAAAACTAATTTATTGATTTTTAGTTACACAAATTAATGTATGGAAATGGTTTTCAAACATGGGAATATTCACCTTTATTTGCACTTCGTTCTTATGCTTATATTCTTCTTCATTGGTTACCGATTTCTTTGATTCCTATTAGTTTTAAAGTGAGATTATTTTCATCTTTTTTTTTAAAATCAGTTTTAGTTGATTTTCAAAAGATATTTAGTTAATTGCATTCTATGCTCTTCGTATTTGTCTTGCTATTATTTGTGCAACATGTGAAGCTTTCTTTTTTCGGTTAGTATTTTTATTTAGAATGTTTTATTTTAAAATATATCGAATTTATAAGAATAGAACTTTCACAAAAGTAGGTTTCGTATTTCTTCTAGTGTTTTAATGTATTATCGAACGATTTTAGGCTTGATTTTTTTTGATAGTTATTCATCGTTAGATAGATAAAAAAATAACCTAATGGAAATGCAGTTGTTTTCAATATATAAAAATTGAGATAAATGATTCTCTATTATTTAAAATAATTGTTATCTATTCATGTTGCATTATTGAAGCAAAGCCGTAAGAGCAGATTGTGTTGTCAAGCGTGAAAAATCAAGAAGAATTCTTTTTTTGTTAGAAAGATCAATGTTTGAACTACAAATTTTGTACAAGACATGTTTTTTCTAGAACGAATCTGAGAAGAAGAAAAAACTTGATATATTTGCAAAGATTTTTGTATTGTATATTATTCGTTTCTTTAATCAAATTTTTTGAAAACAAGCATTTATAATATGACGACAATCTCAAATAATCGATCGATCAGTTGAACAGTCTGAATTTAAATCAGACGGAAAATGTTTATCTAGGCGTTAAAAATAAAGTTGATAGTAGAAAACGAGAAAAAAAAGCACAGAAGAGTTTTCGAATGTTGATATTATTATTGTAATATATTGTAAATTGTCTATGAAAAAGTGTATTTCTTCCTAAAATAAATGAAGAAAATTGTAAAATTCTAGTACTAAATCGTTGCTCATTGGGTTCATCATTTGCAAAATGAAAAAATTCAGATAGTTGTCTGTAGAGAGAAATACTCGTAAAGCAAAATATGCAAGTTTTTTTTTGCAAACAGCTGTAAAAACGAAAGAACTATGAATTTGTATTCGATTCAATTAGACTTTAACATTTTTAATTTCTAGCGCAATTGATAAACAATTGAATAGATCGATAGCTCATAAATATGCATTATTATCAATATTAAATGTGGCTTTATTTCGAAGTAGTAGTGCTTTTATAAATAATTCATTTTCAATGTATACTCTTTTACTTGCTTATTCATGTTGGTTTTCTAATGCATTATCAGTAAGAAAAAAAAAAAGAATTTTCTTTTTTTCCTATATGATTTGTATTCGTATTATAGTTATCAGTTTTCTTTATTGCTTTTGGATCATTATGTGGATGGATTTATGTTGCTGTACTTGGGTAATTATAGAAATTATTATTATTTTTTTTTTAATTTATAAATTATTTTATTTTATTAAGTATTCCAATCGCTCTTGATATATTATTTCGTCGTCAACGTTATATTGATTTTATAAAATGGAGTATCATATCTGGCTTAATAACATTAGTAAGTTAAATATGAGAAATTCTTTTATTTTATTTTTTTTCAATATTTTATTTGTTTAAAGATTCCATTAACTTTAATTGATTCATATTATTATGGAAAATTAGTAATAACACCATTAAATCATATTCATTATAATTTATTTTCAAAACATGGTCCAACTCTTTATGGTAAATCAACTAAAACGATAATTTAATCGAGAATTTTTTTTTTTTTTTGTTAATTAGGTACTGAACCATGGACATATTATATTATAAATGGTTTACTCAATTTTAATATTATTTATCCATTAGCAATTATCGGAATTTTTTTAACAGTAAATCAATTAAACTCTATTTTCGCACAATGGAAGAGCCCGACTCTTCTATTGTATATATTTTATTTTCATAATTTTTAATTAAAAGAGTTTTTCAAAAAATCAAAATGATTTCGAATGATTTGAACAGAGATTTTTCAAAGCACAGAAATAATGTTGACTTCAGTCGTTTAAGATTTTTTCAGATCAAAAGGAGTTTTCTTTAATGCCCGACATATCGTTCTTCAATGAGAGATTTAGTTTTTTTTTTCTTTTTTATTAAATATTTCTATTATTTTGTTTTAGCCATTTATTGATGTGTTCATTGATCGACGTTATATACAATCAGGTAACATATATATTCGATATGATAAAAAAAAAAAGAAAAGTAAATGTTATTTAGGTAAAGTAGCAATTCCATTTACAATGATTGTATCACCAATTGTTATGTGGATGAGTCTTTTATGGATGCAACCACATAAAGTAAAAATAATATTAAATTTGAAATGAAATATTTAATTAAAGAATTTGTAGGAAGATCGTTTTGTTTTTCCAATTTATCCATTAATTATTCTAAGTGGTTCAATTGGTATTTATCAAATAGAAGTAAATTATTATTTCTATTTGAAACAAAAAAAAAAATGTTTATTTATTTATTTAAATAAATTAGAATTTAATTCCACGTCTTGTTCGTTTAATAAAATTAAAACGTAATTCAGTTTTATTTGTTCGTCGTTTATTTGTTTATTCAATAATAATTATTCATGGTTTATTATCTATATCACGAACATTTGCTATTGTTAATGGTTATTCAGCACCAATTCGTCTTTTAACGCATTCTAATACAACAAATATATTTGAAAAATCATCCGATAAACATTTAAATATTTGTATTGGAAAAGATTGGTATCGATTTCCATCACATTTTTTATTACCAGAAAAGTAAATTATTATTATTCTATTTTTGTTTTTGTTAAATTTTTTCTTATAGATCTCAATTATTATTTCTTCGTTCAGAATTTAAGGGTCAATTACCCAAAGCATATAGTCATTTGAAAAATGCAACTCGATTAATAGATAATCATTTTAATGATGAAAATAAAGAAGAACTTGATCGATATGTAAGTTTTATTTATTTTCATTACATCTCATTGAAATTTATAATAATAATAAATTCCATAAATATCTTTGCCTTAGATCAACTATTTAATCTCATGAGGAAACCTATTAATTACTTTTCAGTCAAGGTTATCTGCAATATTTGTAGACTCTGATAAACTATGGATCATCTGAAAAGAGTTCGAATCATTAGTTTACTGCTGTAAAGATTACTATTTTTGGTGCAGTATCTTTTAATTGGTTTTCGAATTTTGACTTGAAACTTTGTGCATGTAGACACGATTTAAAGAGAATAGTTTATTATCCAAGTTTACGATCTTTTCGATCTATCTATCCTAAAATACGGCTATGGTGAAAGTGTGTCTTTTACAAGGCTCATATACATCGGAAGATCCGATGCTCTTTTTCCGGGATAGAAGCAAATAGAAAGATCGAAAACTTTGATAATAAATAATTCTGATTAAAATTTATTTCTATACACAAAGTCTCAAAGCGAAATTGAAAGATTTGTTTTTCTGTAGAGGATCGGAGCATTAATATGTCATTTTACAAATAATTAATCGAAAGAAGAAACTTTTTTATTTCGGTTTATGAAAATCATTTATTCAATAACAAAAAAAAAAACTTCATATTGATTTAAAAAAAAAAAAGAAAGTGTTGATAGATAGAAACGTCTCTATCATTGTTTATATTTAAAAAATGCGACAATTTATAGTTGTTGTGATAAGAAACTAGAATTAGATTTGCAAATGGGGAATAATATTCAGGACAATATCTATCCGACATGTAATAAATGTTTTGTAGAAGTATCCATTAGTTTCGAAAAAAAAGGAACTTACTAAAACAATAATAATATTTACGCATATTCCCAGGAGTTCACATCGAAATATTATTTATGAGCAAGTTGAAATTTTTGCTTTTTGGTGAATTTCTAACATAAAAAAAATGAAATATTAATTTGAATAGGTTAATTTAAATCAATGTGATTATATCATCGATCACGACAGTGAATATCCCAGTGAAATTCAACCAAATTATAGTCAACAATTTGAAATAATAACATCTATAAAAATGATTTTACCATCAAGGTAAAAAGAAACTATGTTGTATTATTCTAATAAAAATCTTATTTTTATTTTTAGACGATCAATATTTCGTTCATTTTATGTTCCTTTTTTGAGTGTTCGATCGAATCAATATACTTTCTTACATTTGTTAAAATGTTCTAAATTTGTTGATGTTTCGAATGAATAAAAAGAATCAAGTTAGACCAAGAATATATTCAATTTATGAATGATGTTAATTTTGATTATTTTTTTAAAAATTATATTCTTAATAATGAGTCTATTAATCAAGAATTATTTCTACAATTTATATTATAGTTTAAAGTTCAAATAACATACGCATATTGATCGATAATCTTAACTAAAATTTTAAACATTTACTAATTTAGTTAGAAATTTAGAGAACATATAAAAACAAAATATATCTCTAGATTAGAATAAATTATTTATCAATGTGCTTGTTTTTGGCGAGACAATTGATTAGATGGCCAGAAACGATTGTAATAATGTGGCGATCTGATTCATGACAACGGGATCAAACCTTCTACATCATCCTTCTCTTTCTCAATTTACCTGAATCTCGAAGGTGATTGTCATTATCAACTTTAGATATGTTAGAATCAGCAACTTTCTTTAAGTATTTAAAAATTACGCAAAACAGATATTGTTTTACAGTTTTGATCAGGATCGAATGATGAATATTTTGAGACTAGGTACCTCATTCTTCCTGACACATCTATTAGAAGTGACATACAAATGTGGTTAATCTTGTATCAGTAATCATGCGTGATCGAGGAGGTCAAATATCAAAATATTTTGACTTAAGTGTGCGTTTCGTCATCAGGAATTTCTTTTTTATTCATGTCTCTGTGGATGATTTTTCATAGCTTTGATATAAAAGTTATTGTTTTTTTTCCATTTTCTGGATTCCTAAAGAGATTTACATCCATACGTTCAAGTCAGCCACAGTAAAGATTTGTAAATTCAATGAATATCTATGATTTACGTGCAATTTGTGAAGCATGACTTCAGCGTTAACTTTGCTCGAAAGATTATTGCTCGATCTTTACCTTAAGTATAGTTATCAATTCGAATGAGGAGAACAAATATATGCTTAAAGTAAATAATAACTGTTATGTTCTGCTTCCATAACTATATTTACAATTTCTATAACAAGGTTACAAAACATTTGGTTCAATGTACGAAACAACTGTAAAAATTACTCGACATTAAAAGTACATATAAAGTAAATGTGTCACCGCTAATCCATGTTTACCATGTGCAACAAAACATTTTTTTTGCTTCAAGCCAGACTTGAGTGTGGAATATACCTAACAAGCCACTGGTTAAAAATTCAAACTGAAAGACGTAGTCAAATTTAAAAAAAAATGTGACCATGAATCCGCGAAATATCTTCTATTGATGATCATCGAGAAGCCGACTGTAACGGGTGATTAATAACTAGGATTCGGAAATGGTCTGTCTCAATTTCTCGTTTCATTGTTTTTGTTCCTACGGCAGTGAATGTATGAACAAATCTTGCCTAGCAAATTTTGTTTCTTTCCCAGGTCGAACGTTACGGAGTTCGTAAACGATCGTATACGACCGTATACGGAAAAAATACGGTCGTTTACGACCGTGTTTTGCCGTAATACATGTGATCGTATTACGATCGTATATCTCCGTAACCGTATACGGTCGTATACGACCGTATATGGAGAAAAACGGAGATCGTATACGGTCTCCGTAAACGACCGTTTTTCCGTCCGTATACGATCGTATTGCTCCGTATACGACACGGAGATATACGATCGTAATACGATCACATGTAAATCGTCGTATTTCTCCGTATACGGTCGTTTACGACCGTGCTTGTTCGACCTGGGTATGCATACGCATTTTTCAGATTGCGAAAGAAACTGATTTGTTCATTTCTAGAAAACATATTCTACACAAAAGAAATTACGCGTATAAACAGAACTATAATTGAATAGTGAGAAGCAATGGACTAATCTATCCAATTTCTCATATTGCTTGTTTTGTACTCAGATTGGATATAGAAGGCCTTTGCTATGCCAGAAAACTATAGCCTTGGGACTGGACTTCTATTCTATGTAAGAGTTTACGTATTTGAGCAGTTAATGTAATTATTATATCGATATTTCCACTTTATGAAACTGTTCAAGTCTTCAATCGTAAGTTAATTATGCAGGGTGTGAGTGTGGGTCTTCTCTTCACCCATACACTCACACTCTCAAGAATGTTTGAAAAAACTTGAATAATGAGAAATTCCATTTTTCTATTGTGACAAATTGTCTGGCAAAGCTGCTATTCATATTATAAATGTAAGATCTTTCATTTGATCAGATGACACCCATTTTTTCTTAATTATATTTTTATATCTCATATTTTTGTAATGCTTGTTGTTTTACTATCTAGTATATACAATTGGTGTAACCTATTGTTATAAATTGTGTTTGTAGTATTTCTTTCAAGAATTTTTCAAAATTACATATATTAGTCCATTTTTCCAGTGTAATTGTTGGTTCTATTAAAAAGATAATGCTACTTGTCCAACTCTATTACGAGACTTGAATCATATATTTATAGTACCATTTACAGTTTTAAAGTCTTAATAGTGTATATTGTATTATAAATGCATGCTCATCTTCTATTATTTTATTTGTTGCTTTTTATAAATTGTTTTTGTGCATAATGTTAAGGGATTGTATCCTTTACACTGAAAGTCATCAGCATTTAACCACTCTTGTCCAAAACTTCTGAAGAATTAGAGAAAATACACTGATCATACTATCATCTAAACAATTTTCATCTTAGAATTATCCTTTCTTATCTTTACTACAAATTAGTTATTAAATTTGTTTTATAACTATAATTTCAATATATTAACTTAAAGAAAAAACATTTTACTTATATATTAATTATCAAACTTAGTAAATATTTTTATCCCTCAGAAAGTTTAAATTAATTGATCGTTCAATAATTTCACTTAGCACTTAAGTATTGTAACTTAGAATATTATTCATTCTGAATTCATAACATATTCTTTTTATTCAGCATATGAACATCCAAAATATGTAAAAAGTGAATTAAATGCATTAATAAATCCCATAACCGATAAGTTCATCATAATCTGGACACCGACAGGAGCAAGCTGTTGAGGACCAAATAAACAATGCCTGGTCCGAACCCTTTGTTGCCTCGCACGATTTTTCACAATCAGCCTGAGTTTTAGGAGCATTGGGGTTCTAAAGAAAAAGTGTGAAAATAATGTATTATAGCGATCAAAGTGAAACATGATTATGAACGTTTAGTAAATAAAGAAATCATATGATTCTTTGTATACGGTGAAGACCGTGTAGACAGACAAGGAAATATATTTCAGGAACCCCGATTAACAAAAAAAAGACAAATCGCCATCGGTTTCATTTTCTTTGACATGGACGAGCTGAAAAACTGGACGTTATCTTTCAATATTCAATTGAATAGAATAAACTATTTCTCGCGTCTGTATCAAATAAGAAATAGAAGCTTGTATTACAGAGAAACTCATAAACTTTCAGTATACAGAAGTTTGTTTCTTTAGTCTTGCTTTTTTAGATCACTTCTATCATATATGTATCAATGAGTCAGGCATGAAAAAAAAAGAATTTTGAATAGAACAGTACGCAAATATTAAAAGACTGATTGAGAAAAATTTTTTAAATTCTAAATTTCCTTGCACAACTCTATGCTTCTTATTATCGGGCAGTTTCTCATTTAAAGCTACTGTAAAAATTCTAATACTTACTCTCCATACATAAAATGACAATATTGTACGAGATTTAGCTTTGGTATATTTTGTGTCACACATACATGGAGGAATTGGCTCTGTGTTGTATGAACAAAACTCCACACAATCATTGTACGTCTCCTTATTCTGAACGTAAGCAGCACAAGCTTTCCTGCAAGTACACGTCGAAGACTTAGAGTTGAGACTTGTATTAGCAGCGCTTGTGGGTGTAATTATTAGAATAATACAAAGTAAGAGCAATGCGAATGAAAGTTGCATGATTATCTTCTTATTCGCTTGTGTAGTGAATAAAAGAAAAAAAATCCGAAACTGATTCATTTCTTTATGAGCTAGTTTTGACCTTTTATATTGTGATAAATATGTGGCAGTTGTTTGATTGAAACTATAAAAAAAAAAGGCAACATCTGTTTTGAATCGTCATATCTATTGTCTCTAGAAGAAATATTCTTATCAAGAAATTGAAACATGTCTGTCGATACTACATAAGGGCGTGAAATCTTTTGAGTACTACATTATCTATGGATTCAACAACAAATTATACAATGAAAAACTTCATGTACAATGTTCTAATTACTTTTAGTGGAAGAAGATAAACGACATGATCTCGAGTATTCCGAGTGTGGATGTGGGTATGCATAAACAGATGAGAACACCCACACCCATCTATACTCACATTCACACCCTAATCTTAGAAACGTTTGCCATGTTTAGAACTAAAATAAACTTTAATATTGGAAAATTTAAAAATAAACTAGTGAACTAAATGTAGTTCTAGTAATGAATTCACAACGTACAACTGATTAGACATCATTTTTATGTTTAACTGGTTAGTTCAAGAAAGAATCCTACGTTTATTTTTTCCATCTATAAATTTGTTGAATATTTTTGTTCGTCATTCTGTTTCAGTAACATTAGATGCATTAAATCTCAAATCATAGTTCACTCATTTTTTTTTGATAGCATTTAAGTTCATTTGCGACCTAATTAAATCTAAAAGTAAAAGGGATTGAATTTTCATAAAAGTGCAATTTAAGAACAGTACAATCATTGCTTAAGCGCAATTCTTCCACTTAAAAGACAAAATATTGCACATAATACGTTCAAAGCGCTTTCTTAACTGTGTGTGAATCTTCTCTTCATCGATACGCACGCCCAAAAAGTGATTATGTACAGGTTGTATAGAATGAATACCACGGAGATTTTCTAAAATCAATTGTATTGCAAGCAATATCTTAGATTCATATTTTTAGAAATACTTAAAATATCAGTATCTCGTTTATTAAGAATCATAAAAACTACAAGTAACGCTCGTCAATACGACTCGCTAGACCCTCAATTGAATGTTCAACTCTTTTCGTATAGTTTACTGTTTTAAA